AGTTGGCTATGAGGAGGCATCAGCCTGATAGCTCGGAAGATGAATGTGAGTACATGCCTTTCGATCCTAGAAATAGTAGGCACAAGTGATGATTGATAAGTGTAACACTTTTTGTCAGTTATCTTAGGAGTCCATCGAGAGGATGAACCTTTTATCATTACACTAGGCGCAGTAGCAGACTCCCAAAATTAATGTTAGGTTAATTTTGAATTTGTACACAAAGTCTTGCTTCGCCGACCGTGACAGATTCATAATCGAAAATATGTACTTAATACATGACTCTGAAAATTAAAACCTTCGTTCTTTGCACTTGATAATTTCCTACACGTACCTATAAGCCAGTATAAGCAGACGCATCACCTGATGGTAAGTACTCAGCATCAGGAAAGAGTTACAAGTGCGTTACCGACCTTTTATGGCTTTTTGAGCCATCGATCCCCTCCCAAACAAGTGGTAGTAAATTAAAAATACTTATTTTTTCAGTTGCCGACGATGCAAAAGAAACAGCTGGCAAGATTTTAAACCTGTATCCGAGAGAGAACAGAAAAAGAAGGAGACGACGATAACTATTTTGTATGTCTATTTTTTTATTTAATAAAGTCTGTATTTATTATGGTGTTTTACTTTATATTCAGGGTCGCTTCCAACCGACCGATCTGTAGGTAAGTCATTGGGGGAAGCCTATTGAGGTATGGAATAGACGTCTTATGGCTGATACGATGATGATGACATTGAATGATCTTCATGCAAGTATTGAAATTTGCGTTGCCGGCCTTATAAATAGCAATACGCTCTTTTCTTGAAGTTTTGAATGTCATATCGGCTTGGGAATACCGCCGACGACAGATCATTCCAGTTTTGCTGTTCGATGCAGAAAGCTACGTAAGAAGCGCACAGTTGTGGCATGCCAACCATCAATATGATTGGGCTGCATATGCTGTCGTGAGGGTCGATGGCGAAAAGATTGTCGAACCTATTTTTTTTTATTTTGTTGTCGTGACTTGGATTTCTGATGTTATATTATGTACTTTTATACATTTTCTTGATATTTTTGTTGTTTAATTTAATTCAATGGCTGTAGTGATTCACTTTAAACTGTCAAACACCAAGCGGTCACCGGTGACCGCGACCTATTGTTCTTTAATTGTGTCTATAAAACCGGTACTCGACGAGTTAATAGAAGGATCACAAGGTTACTGTGGATTATATTTTTGTATCTTTTGTGTTAGGAGTCCAAATAAATAAATGCTGTAAGCTAATGGCGATTATAACTCACTAGATGGTGCTAGTATCAACCTTCGTGCAATAGGGAATTAAAATTAAATATTCCCACACCATTGGACGACCAATACGTGACAGCTGCAGTGATTGGACAAAAAAACCTTTGCTTGCTTGATACATTTGCGCAACAAAATGGAAGGACTCCATTGGGCAATCAGTTTCATATATCGTTCAGTTCCGTTTAGTTTCGTATAAGTTGATTTTGAAGGGTACGAAAATAAAAAATGATTTATAGTATAAGTAGGTATGTTTATTGTAAGTATTTACAATGTTATTTATTACACAACTAGTATTTATCTCTAGCTAAATAATTCTAATACAATAAAAACTGTACTTTAACCAATAACATAGAGCTGTTCACATCTGAGATTTACTGTCAGAATTAATTAATATCTGGCGTTAATCCAAAACTTTTATATCGATTTGACAGAAAGTCTAATTGCGGTACTCAGACACATTTAATGATAAAATAACATCACGCCTTTTATCCCTGAAGGGGTAGGCAGAGGCACATTATGGAACTTAATGCCACTGTACAATGTAACACCCACTTTTCACTATTTATGTTACAAGTCCCATGTAATAGGGGGTGAGCCTATTATCATATACACAATGGGGATGATGACAGGGTATGAAAATTAAAAATATAATTAGTCCGTAAGTTAGGTAATGAAAAAATATTAGACACGTATTTTTTATTTTGTCGTATAATAAAACAATACTTAGATAAAACGAATCAAAGTTTAGGAGTGGGGGCTAAAACGTCATTTCTTAGTATAAAATGTACTGAGAAGTGACGTCACGCGACATTTCAAATCAATATATCTTCGAAACTATTCGTTTCTGTGAGAAAATAAAAAATACGTGTCTAATGTTTTTAAATAATCTATCAGACGGACATTAAAATAAAAATTAATCGTCTACCCTATTCTAGACTCTGTGCTGTTACTGAGAATTTTATTTTAAAAATCCCAGTGATACTTGCCCAGCAGTCGCACTTGCGAACACTTTGCCAACGAGGCAGTCATTAATGATTACTTAACTATAGTATGCTTAAAACCAAGGATAGACTAATGTACAAATGTCCTAAGACACGTGTCGCCAGCGACGTTCGGTGAAGTAGTGCGACCTTGCCGGACTCTGCTCGACATGTCTGACAACATCAACGTCGCAGTGGACATAAGTCGCAAAGTATATAACTCTTTGTATGGTCTACAGATTATTGTTCCGGGTCTGGGTGTCATGTAGGTGAACTTGTATGTTTGTAAACGCACCCACGACACAGGAGAAAATCCTATTGTGGGGCGACGTTTTTTTTTATGTACGTCATGTGAAATCGTCTTCGCTTGACATGTCGTGCGACAATTGTCCCCTAATATATCCTTGGCTATAAACTATTCCTTAGTAACGACTTTATCCCAAAAGGACTAAGTCGAGTAACCATTAATTGACTCTGAGAACGGCAGTAAGAACTATTATCAAAAATCGACCTTAACCTAAAGCCTTTTGAATTAAAATCAGTTATCAATTTCGGGCGATATAATTACATAGTCAAAATTTTCTCGGTACATTTTTGTAACCTGGATTTCTAATACAACCATATAACGAATAACATTAAAATATTAACACGCATGAAAAGACTGATGATATAAAAGAGGTATGTAAGAATCGTAGCAATTGGCGTTCCATGGTCTCTGCCTACCCCCATGGGAGTACCCAATAGGGGAATGCCCTGCGTGGGCTGAGCACCGCCGTGCCCTCAGGGATGTGATCGGCGACGGCGACTTTTCGCATCCGGCCCTAGTGCGGGTCATGATGCAGGGCGAGGAGGACTGGGATGCCGTCTCCTCCTCAAAATAAATGTGTTCCAAGGCCTCATTTATGTGCACACAATGTAACATCATTTATTCATCAGTTATGTTATGAGTCCCATGTAACTACTGCGATATCGACAAAAACTGTATATTAATATTTTAATGTTACTTTAACAGTTTAATATACTCAATGTAAAATAAACTTTCATGTCATATAATTTGTATATGGTTGCAACATTCTTGCATTTTAAAGTCGACATAGGTACTATTTATAAGACATTTTTTACAAACAGACGGAGGGTTATAATGGTTGGTTATTACATGCATTTTTTTAACTTATGGTACCAATATTTTGAGAATTTTCTCCAAGTTCTGGTCCTTAGCTTATTTTTTGTCAATTTACTACTTACTAAATGCGAAGTCTGTGTGTTTTTAACTTAATCACGTGATAACAGCTGAAGTGATCGGTATGAAATTTGGAACAGTATACTCGTATAATTTTTATACGCGAGAGAAGCTAGTGATAGAGAATAACAAAATAGGAGCTTTGACAAAAATCATGTTAAGGACAAATATGGAGAAAAAAAACTATGAACATTACTTGCACTTCCCCAATTTACTTAATGAGTTAAAAACTCTTTATACATTGTTTAAACATTTGTTCTGCTTTACTCTCAAACATAAGTAGCCATGTCTGACCAAAGGCCTCTACTCACACGTAGCTTTGAGCATTAATCACCACGCTTGCTCAATGTGGGTTGGCGATTTCAAACTTATAATTAGAAATTATAAGCTCAGGTTTCCTCACGATGTTTTCCTTCACCGTTTATCAGTGGTGTCTAGATAATGTTAGAAAGTACATATGACTTGGGAAAAGTCGCATTGGTACTTGCCGTTGGTTGGTTTCGGACCTGCGCATGCGAAGCGGGCGTCTTAAACCTCCGGGCCACCACGACATATTAAATCTATATCAAACAATATAATGCTTGAGAGTAGAAGCAATACAAATTATTAAAAAACTCGGTTAAACCTATCAGAGACAAATCAAACCATAATTCCTTACAATAAGGGCTATTTTAGCATGTTTCGTCTTAACATTGAACTTTTGTAGAGTGCAGTTTTCAAATAAACTTAGTTGTGTGATTATAATTCAAATAAATTTCATAGAAACTGGTTTTTACTTTAAATTTTTACATTAAATCTATGTCATTAGGATATTTTGTTTTTCTTATTGTTGTGGATGCAAATCTTATATTGTTTTTAACTTTAATAAATAAAAATAATTTTCAATAAAGTATTCTTCAAATTCAGTTCATAAATGTAACAAACACTTGTTTGAATACCGCATCAAAATTTGTTCAGGCAATGCCGAGATAATCGCTGATAATCACATATAAATACATACATGTTAAACTGAGATCCTCGTTCTTCTTTTGAAGTCAGTTTAAAAATTGATCTATTAAAATGTGTGTGCACAAAACTCCAAAATGTCTGCATACAATTCGATAATAATGATATTCACATATAGTTCAGATAAAGTAGTTGCAAAATCCAATAGCTATTACTTAATACATACAATATTTTTTATACAATTTTAAAATTAACAAAATAGCTAACTGTGCAACAGTTAAAGACCACAATTCAATTCCCATTTAACTCGTTTATCTATATAGTAACTAAGCTTCAAGCCCAGTACACAGCATAACATCACATCATGACTAAAGGCTCCGATCGAGCCCGAAATTAATCGGGCATCTTCGTAAATGGTAGAACGAGCACTATAGAACTTATATTTGTTTATAACAATATAGAAATGCATCCACATCGCTCAGACGACTACAGTCGTCAGTATAAAAATAAAATCCGACGTTTTTTGTTTATTTAAAGTATATAAAAACAATATTATTAAACTTTAGACTTTCGCTTTGCCGGTGACCTTGGTGGAGGGGGCTCAGTCTTCTTGTTCTGGAAAAAAATATTAATAATTATTATATTATTTATAGAATACATAAGTTTTGAATATAAACTTGGGAACAAAAGAACGGAGCCGATAACGTTTTTTCTATCATTTCTGATACAAGTATTTTATTAATTGGTAACGTATTATGTCGTATAAAAGCCAATTTGGTTAATATATAATGCGAGCAATATGTTGTAAAAAGAATATTTTTTTAAGTTAAAAAGTTCGATAAAATGAACAAACATAACTGGTAGCTCCGGTTATTTGCTCCCGAGTGTAATATATAATGCAGTTTATTTTCTTTTTCATGGGCTAGGGGAACGACATATCACCTAATGGTAGGCAATCGTTTCCACTCAGAAGATTAACTAAGTGAATTGCCGGCCTTTTGGGAGTTTTCGGTAACCTCATTGCCACGGCAGAAGACAACGCAAGCATTTGTTACACGCATCGGAAAATTTAAGATTTTAAACACTTCATAGAGGTGATTACACTTCCACACACATCGTTTATTCAATGTACGAATAACCAAATCTGTACTTATGTCATGTCATATATTTCAAAATCTATTTTACCATTCTATACTTTATTATCATGCTTTTTTTAATTGAAGCAGTATTTTACACTATAAGTTATCAATAAGCCATAAAGGGATAAGCAGTGGAGGTATATTAATACGTCCCAACGGAAATAAAGAGGGACTTTTCGCGATTTACGTTAATAAATAGGGGGTCAGACTATTGCCAATCACTAAAAACAATACCAGACTTCAGTCAGCGTGAGGATGGGGACCAATAGAGATATGTCCTTGAGACATTGTGCACTATATAATACCTACTTGCTAGTATTTACAGAAATAAAGTGGTTAGCCAACCATATTATATTATTTTCCTATTTCTTTAATAAATTTATTAACGAAAAAGTAGCAAATATTTAACTATAGGTAGCAACATAACATAACATCACGCCTTTTATCCCCGAAGGGATAGGCATAGGTGCACATTATACTACTGTACAATGTAACACCAACTTTTCACTATTTATGTTATGAGTCCCATGCAATAGGGGGTGAGCCTATTGCCATATACCGGGCACAGTACCAGGTATTCCAAATATAGGTAGCAAATAGGTATTAAATAGTGCACATGGTCTCAATGACATATCTCGGTCCAGCCATCCTGACGCTGACCAGACTTCATGCTATACTATTTCTGCTAAATACTTCGTCCAATCCGAAAATCTATAATCATAATATTATGACCAATGAAGCAGTCACCTTAAAATAATTATAAGACTATTTTCTAACTAGTAGTAAAATAAGTTAGATAATGTAAAATGAATGCACTATGGTAAATACTTGGGCACTTGACTATCGGTAGCAAAGTTTTTAAGAACCTACAACAACAGGTATCACAGACAAGTTACATCATTGACATCATTTTTGGTATTGTTAATTGTTTGGTTATTATGCAATCTGTAATCTTTATCGGTATATAAAAGAATTGCTATTAGTCAGTTTCGCTAAAACTCGAAAACGATTGCACTGATTTGGCTCATTTTAATCTTGAATTATTTGTGGAAATCCCGAGAAGGTTTAAAAGGCGTGAAAAAGTAATTTTTGAGTAAAGTAAAGCTTGCCGGGTCATCTATTACAGTATAGTCCGATAGTATATTTGAACTTTTTATTTAAATTATTGTCACGTTAATCGCGTGACGTTTCTTATGTGTACGTCTTAGAAATGACGTGGCTAGCTCCCACTTCTAAACTTTGATTCGTTTTATCTAAGCATTGTTATACGACAAATAAACAAAATATTATCTTCGTGTCTAATATATTTCATTACCTGACTGACGTATGTTATATTACAGATTTTTAATTTTCATATCCCTGTCATCATTCCTATTATGTTCGTGTTTATTACACATTATGAAGTCTTTGTCTATCGCTAAGATATGTTAAAAATCTAACAAGGCATTATTAAATAATAATTTTCTAAAATATTACCAATCTAAGCAGTATCGTGCATAATTATAATAAAAATACTACGTAAAATTAATATTTCTGACCAGTTGGCGCGACGGTCTACCATGTAATTATGACAATCTCATATCACATGGATTCGTCTGCGCCTAATCTGGAAAATTAAATATTATTTTTAGACTAAAAACATAAATCTATCTATCTATATACTTATGTTATATTTACAAAATAAAGTCGTGTTAGTTACACTATTTATAACTTAAGAACGGTTAAACTTATTTGGCTGAAAATTAGGACATAGGATACTTTTTCCCGAAGGATTATCAGGAGTTTTTCTGTCTTAAGAACTTTCTCCTAATACAACAAAAATAACAAATACAACAAAAATAGAATTAGTGAAATTGGTCATGCCAATGACGCGTAATACAGTGACCAAGGGAAGAAGGGATTCATTTTTATATGTAAGTATAGAAGATTTCCCGAAAATACTACAGGAACGGGAAGAACGGGATTGTGCGTACGAAGTCGCGGACAAAAGTTATTTCGATACTAGAAGCATACCCACACATTTACTTCATATAATTGTTACAGTTTTACTGGTCTGCCCGTATTACTTGATTTTGCTCTTCATGTCAATTTATACCTTTGCCCACATTAAATTGATTTGTGTGTATGTAATACTTTACCCATATTTTTAAATTCTGATAGTTTATATTTGTTCTTTCGTATTCAGCACATTTACACGTTTTTTTTTAGTTATTGTTTTCTATTTGTTTACATGCGCTTTAAATTGCTTACTTTTGTGTCAAATATTATTTGTCAGTAAGCGGATTATGTATGTGTATCTTTATGAGGAAGAAATGTATTCTAAACCTATAAATATATAATGTACTTAATATTATAAAACTGAAGAGTTCGTTTGTTTGAATGCGCTAAAAATCTCTGAAACTACTGGATCGAATTGAATAGTTATATAGTGTTGCATAGTCCATATATTGAGGAAGGCTATAAGGCTATAAAATATCAGGCTACGGTTAATAGGTGCTGAGTACCCAGTGAACCACGGGCGTGTAGTAATCTTTATATACTGAACGGCTGGACCGATTTAAATGAACTTTTCTGTACGCGTTTGAGTGGCGCGCCCTGGACAAATCATCCCGGCAGATGGCGCTGCAGTCGATGTCTAGGTTAGTTATCCTAAACGGCTGAACTAATTTGAATGAATTTTTTTTATACATTCAAGTGGATATGCAGGACAACGTCTGTCGGGTCCGCTATTCTTTTATAAAATAATTATTTATTGAAATGGGTTTAAAATACACTTTGTCGCTTATCTTAGTTTAGCATGAATCTGTTATAACTTTAATTATAAAAGTCAAGTACCCAAATACTAATGTTACCTTAAAAAATACAATGAAATCTGTCTGCTTTATTCGTAGATTCATAATCGAGTTAGGGTTACTGTCCACGTTGCGTCATTTGACAAATGCTTGCATCTTGTTTAGATACAATGAAAACAGCAGCTGTAGCCGAATGCCATTAAGCGCTTGTCTACATGTAGAATAGAAAACCAAATTATATGATTTATATATTAATTATATATTTATATTATATTATAAATTTATTATATATTAATTGACGTAAATTTTGACACTTGTCAGTGTTATCCCCATACATTTTGATTTCTACTCTCTGTAGACAAGCGCTAAAGTGGCGTTTGGCTAAAGACCCTGTTCACGATGCGGTAAACGTTATATCTGTTTGTTTTTAACAAATACATCTGTTCATCAAATAACGCAACGTGGTTAGTAGGCTTTAAATTATCTAGTTATATAGAATTATAATTATTTAATTTAACTACCAATGTCCCACGAGAGTTATAATGCCAATAAAATAATAGATACTTAGGTATACCTAATCTCACGATGATTACATTTTTTTTTTAAATTTGATGTGCCGACGTTTGACCTATCTCGCCTGGTGGTAAGCGATGATGCGGCCTAAGATGAAGCACGTCGACCCATAAGCAACCTATTCACTCGGGCCTTGAAGCCACTCATATACCCTTCAGGAAATATATCATTTGAATTAAACAGCATTTATGGTCATGCAAACTAAACATGTATACATAATTAGAGCTTAATCGGTTGAAGATATCTGCTTCAAAGTTTTGTTGCAAGATTTCACTTCATACACACACATACATACATTGCTAGTTCAATAAAATAAGCTTTTAAAATCAACTGACCTCTCTCGATCGTTTCGCTCTAGGCTCACCGACCTCTTCTTTTTCTTTTACTTTCTCCTTTTCAACCTCTTCTTCTGCCTTCTCACCATTGCCCAAATCACCATTCTCCTCGGTTACTTCTTTTTCTTTCTCACTTTCAACCACTTCTGTGGTCTTCTCTGGGGTCTTTTCACGTTCTTCTACTTTCTGTGTGTCTTCTTGTGGTTTTGTCGTCTCTTCTTGGTCTTCTGGTGTGGTTACTGCTTCTGTTGGTTCTGTCAAAGGTGTTGTCGATTCTGCTTCTGTCGCTTCTGAGTCTTTTTCCTTCTCTTTTTCTTTGTCATCTTGTAATTTTCTAGAGGATTGTCTCTTTACTGGTGTTTTTGATACGTTGTTCGCTGACGATGATTTCTTTGCTTTCGCTGTGGAGATATTTTTGGTGTTTAGAATAAAATTGTAAGAAGAATTTAGACTGCCTCGTTGATCGACTGGTGCGACAAGGGGGCATTGCATCCGTATTGCGTGGATATTGAATGAACTAAATAGTATTGAGTTCTGCTTTACATTCCGTACTCTGAATGCTATTTTAATAGCTACGATATTTTGCAGATTTTAGTTACAAAAATTATACTATTTTAGTCCATTTAATCCAGATTGTACATGCTTAAGATTTGGTTGTACATGCATTTGTTTTATACGTTTAGTATTTTATTGTTAGATTGTTACATATTTATTACACTTATAACTCTCAGCAATATTGACAACTAGTCTTAACTAGTCGTTAATAAAAGCACGAAGCATTTTTTCTTCTTTTTATAATAACAATCCAACGCGTTTACGTGAAAAACCAACATTTTGAAAATCTCACTTGATATTGGGGATGGAGGAGGGTGGGAAGGAGGGACAGAAAATTAAAAAAATGACCTCACGTAATTTATGGACAAACATCATGCTACGGTCAATAGGAGCCGAGCAGTGATGGTTAATTGCGCAGAAGCAGCTAGTATTTGATATGATGTGTTAAATACCAACCTGGTGTAGTTTTCTTTTTATTTTTATCGTCTCCATCAGGCTGTAGTAATTCTTTCTGTTCAGTTTCGTTCGCTGTGTCGACTGCCTCCTTCATATCTACTGACGCTGTCTCTGACATTACTGTAATACAAACGGGATAATGTTAACAAAATTAGCGCACTTTATCGTGAAAAAAATAAAACCTACCAAAGCCTAATACAGAGGAAAGGTGTCTTCTCACACGGAGAATGTTTGAGCATTAACTCGTCGAGTACCGTATTTATAGACACAATTAAAGAACAATAGGTTGCAGTCACCGGTGACCGCTTGGTGTTTGACAGTTTAATCTGACTCTTGACTGCACGGTTGGTGCGGTGGCTGAGCAACCGGCTGCCGTGCCACGTGTCGCGAATTCGATTCCCGCACGGAACAACACTTTGTGTGATCCAGAAATTGTTGTTTCGGGTCTGGGTGTCATTCTATATGTGAACTTGTATGTTTGTAAACGCACCCACGACACAGGAGAAAACGTTAAAAAAAATCGTCACGCTTGCTCAAGGCGTGTTGGCGATATCAAACTTATAATTAGAAATTATAAATAGGTACAGGTTTCCTGATGTTTTCCTTCGCAGTATATCACTGGTGTCTTAGAAATTAGAAAGTACACAACTTTGAAACAATCACATTGGTATATGTTTGCTCAATTGCCGTCTCCTATAGGAAATTTAATGTATTTACTTACCAAAAGGTTCATGTATTAACTCCAGTAGTTCATCAGCGCTGAGGTTGCCTGTAGCCTTCTTGAATCTCATCACCCGATTCGTGAAATACTCCCAGAATGACAGACCTTCCAATGGTGTGAAAAGATCCTGAAACAAATCATATTTTTTACGTAACAAAATAAAAAGCTATAAGGGCCGAATCATTTTTAAGTTTAGGGCCGGCTTGACCGGAGTGATAGCACGGCCTCACAGAAAACCGACGTGAAGCAACGCTTGCCTTGTGTTTCGTCGTGTGAGTGAGGTTACCGGAGGCCCAATTACACCCTCCACCTTCCCCAATCCCTGAATCCCTAAATTCCTAATCCCCAAAAGGCCGGTAACACACTTGTAACGCTTCTGGTGTTCCAGGTGTCTATGGGCGACGCCGATTGCTTATTACCCTCAGGTGATCAGTCTGCACGCTTACCGGCTCATCTCTTTAAAAAAATTATCACACGAGATAGCTGGCAAAGCCGCGGTCAGAAGCTAATTTAATATGTAAAACAGTTTCCAAACTCACCCTCATCTTTTTATATACAGCATCAGCCTGTTTCCTGATCTTGTGTGCTTGTTTGGTGAAGACTAGCGCGGCGCTTTCTGACAGTTCCCAGGACGGAGTGTTGCCAACGTACGCGCGCATTCTTTTGATAGTCTCCAAGCAGGTCGGGTGTTTTAGCAGCATTAGAGGTTTTATGTCTAAGGCTGAAAGTGAATTGGTTTGTTAATTAATGCTACGTAAACTCAGGATAGGGTAGATGCCTAATTTTTATTTTAATGTCCGTCTGGTAGATTATTTTAAATCATTAGACACGTATTTTTTATTTTCTTACAGAAACGAATACTTTCGACGATATATTGATTTCAAATGTCGCGTGACGTCACTTCTATGTACATTTTATACGTAGAAATGACGTTTTAGCCCCCACTCCTAAACTTTTTTCGTTTTATCTAAGTACATTTTGTTTTATTATACCTACAACAAAATAAAAAAATACGTGTCTAATATTTTTTTATTACTTAACTTACGGACTAATTAGATTTTTAATTTTCATACCCTGTCATCATCCCAATTATTATAATGTATGTAAGTCCAACAAGGAATTCCACATCTTAGCGGTTCGCACAACAATTGTTAGTGACAATAGCTTCGTGCGAATGGATGGAATGTCCACCATATAAGGTTGGCGGCCCGCCCGTCTTCTGGTAGTACGATGGTGAAACGGACATGTGTTCCGGTTAATTATAATAAGTTATAAAGCTCTTACCCAATAAATCGTCGAGGAGTTTCAAACAGATGTCAGTCTCGGCCTTCTCTAACGACAAACAAGTCTTGATCTTTGCGTCCAGCTCAATCATCTTCATCTCAGTCTTTAAGAACTGTACTCGAGATTTCTTCTCTTCTGTAAAACGAAAATCAATGTTTTTTCAGTCAAATATATCAATATTTACTATTGCCATATACCGGGCACATTTCCTGACTCCCTGCTACTACTGACATTTTTAAAAACCCATTAATACTTTGCCCGACCTGGCAGTCGCACTTGCGACCACTCGGCCAACGAGGCAGTCAGGTCGAGGCAGTATGAAAAACAAAATTAAAACAGATTAAAAAAAAGAGAGACGCTGATAATATACCTATGTTAAAAAGGTCACTCACCCAGCACTGAGTTTCAGTGGGCAATCCTTATCCTTACTAGGGAAAGTGAGTTTGTTTGTTTGTTCCGCTTTCACGCCGTAACTACTAAACCGATTGCTTTGAATTTTTGCAGACGTAAAGTTAGAAGTCCGGATTAAGTAATAGGGTACTTTTTATCCCGGAAAAATTTGATATTCCCGAGGGAAAACAAAAGTATTGGTATAGATGGCTCTGTATGTATTGGTATATGTCACATAGGTTACTTTTTATCCTTTTGTGACGCGAGCGAAGCCGCGGGTAAAAGCTAGTATATATATAAAAGAATTGCTATTCGTCAGTCTCGCTAAAACTCGAAAACGGCTGAACCGACTTGGCTCATTTTAATCTTGAATTATTTGTGGAAATCCCGAGAAGGTTTAAAAGGTGTGAAAAAGTATTTTTTGACGTGACGCGAGCGAAGCCGCGGGTAAAACCTAGTATAAAATGCAAAGTACACTCACCGGTTTCCCTTTCTTTGTCGAGGGTTGCCTTCTCTTCGTCAGTGAGGTTCAGATCCGTGACCAGCTGCGCCACGACTGAGTTATATGATATGTGACCTTTTTCTGTAAACAAATATACGTAATTGTCGTAGCTCTGTCGGGTTATTTTAAATTAAAACAGAAGACTGCACAATTAATAGGTTTAATTTCTACATAACAGAATCAAGACCGGCTCACACCGATACAAAGAAATGCCCGAATGCTATGGCTGGCGTGTGTCGATGAAGAAGAAGCGCGGCGCTCGCGCGGCCGTGGGTTTTTATACCCCGTCCCGCGCGTCGCCGCCTCTATGGTCGATGGCCATACTAATGCGCCAACATTTGCTTAGTATTTGTAGTAATAGTAAGTCGTCCCACTAATCCGTGGCGGCCTTGGAAGTTTAAGTCTCTCGCTTCTAATGCATGAGGGTTCGAAACCTACCAACGGCAAGTATCAATGTGACTATTTCCGGGTTATATGTACATACTTTCTAAGGTTATTTAGACACCACTGACAAACCGTGAAAGAAAAACATCTTGAGGAAACCTGGGTTTATAATATCTAATTATAATTTCATTAAACTTAATCTTTTAAAATGTACTTTGTTTGGATTTCACACCACTGTGAATACACCTTTATCTTACAGTTGTACTGTTGATTCACTGCATTCTTAAAGCGAACATACTATAGTGTTACTAATACATCACTACATAGTATAAAACAAAGTCTATCCGCCGTCTGTCTGTCCCTATGTTTGCTTAGGTCTTTAAAACTAGGTAACGGGTTTTGATGCGGTTTTTTTAAATAGATAGAGTGATTCTTAAGGAAGGTTTATATGTATAATACATGCATATATTGCACCCGTGCGAAGCCGGGGCGGGTCGCTAGTTTATTATAAATGCGAAAGTCTGTGTTTGTGTGTATGATTGTTCAATCAGGTCTGAATGGCTGAAGGGATATGGTTGAAATTTGGTACAGAGATATATAAAGTATGGAAAATACACATGTGGTAAGGTTTTTTTACGGAGAACGTAGGTGAAGCTGGCAGGCAGAGGCTTAATTTTATAGTTAAAACTTACCTAATTGCATTTTCAACGTGACAGCGTTAGAAGCAGCCTGCTTATCCCACTGCAGCCTTGAGGCTTCGTTCTTGAAGCTGCTCGGTCTTGACTGGAAGAGCTTGATGCCAACATACCGCCCCGATGGTAGGTAAGCTATGAGTATGTTTTCTTTTTCTGCGTCCTCTGTGGATGTTGAAACAAATGCTTAAATAGGGTAGATGACTATGTTTTTATAATAACTATCATGATACATACTAAATTATCTTCCTCATGAGCAGAGTGCGCGGCGATGTCGCGCACGCTGCTGATGAGGAAGAACCCCTCTGTTGTTTGAAACTAGTAGAGCTTTTTTCAGTATATTCACGTGAGTAACCCGCTATTTTTAGTTAATAATATCCGTCTGATAATATTTTTTATTTTCTTAACGAAACAAATACCTTATATGTATTTGAAATATCGCGTGATGTAACTTTTAAACACGTTATATACTCAAAAATGACGTAGCTAGATCCCACCCCTAAGCTTTAAATCGTCTTATATTTTTTCATAACTGACAAACTAATTCGATTTTCAATTTTTATACCCTGTCATCATTCCTATTGGCAGATTGGATTAAAACCTCTTCATGGAGAACACAGGTACACAGTTTGGTTAAGAACGGTGGTCATTCACAGATAAAAATGAAATTGTAAACAGTTTGTTTTCAGATTTGAAATTCTAACGCCCGAATACTGAAAACTACTAAATAAGTCGCACTAAAGTATAATTCTGTCACTACAAATCACTACATAGTATTAAAAGTAGCTTTCCACCGTCTGTTTGTCCCTATGCATGCTTAGATCTTTAAAACTACGCAACGGATTTTGATGCGGTTTTTTTAAATAGATATAGATAGTGATTCTTTAGGAAGGTTTATATGTATAATACAGGCATATTGCACCCGCGCGAAGCTGGTACGGGTTGATAGTTCTTCATAAAATTACAGATATGGCACGATATTTAAGCACAACTTAAAATTGAGTAGTCTTACAGTATTCAGGCGTAAGTACCTTTACTCTAATTATAAAAAAATAAAAACAAATACATACTTAAAAATATAAAAACATTTTTAAAGTTATTTTGGCATTTATTAGACTTTGTAACCGCTTTTGCGTTATGTAAAGAAGCCTTTGGGTACGCACTAGACAATTCAAAGCTACTTTTTATAGAATAGAACGCCTTAATAATTGTCCTACACCCTTACACAGGAATCGAACTCTTTATTCGGTAAGAGCTTGCCACTCGACCAATAATGATGTCTTAATACCTAAAGGTCTAAATTTATTTATTGTAGGTATTATTTTTCACCAAACTCTACTGAACATCAAACACAAATCAATATTAAAACATAAATTTTATTCCTAAAACTCTACTACAACTTTTTATTAATCAAACTATTCTCTTTAGGATACATTTTAACAATTTTCAAAATCATTTCATTTTCTTCATCAGTTCTTTCAAACATTTCCCCTACATTTTTAATATAGTCAGAATATTTTAGATTAAAACCTATATCGCCATACTCTGTGGTCATTGGTACGCCCTTTTTGACATCACCACAGACAACATTACTTTTAAATAGATTAAAAAACTCTTCACCTTGAGGTATTCTATGAGAATCAGTTTTAAAACTATTACAATCTAAGTTTTTATATGTTTTACTTAGAGATGTAACTGAACAGAAAGATAAGTTTTGATTTTGAGACAAACTTTTGACACTACATCTATCTGAATTTGAATTTTGAGTTAATGTTTCAAAATTTTCATTTATTATTGTGTCTTCGTCTTCTAAAATGTTTATGGAGCTTGATATGATACTGCCTAATTTGTTTGAATGCATCCTCTTTGGTAGGGAAACTATTTTCTTACTCACTTTAGTATTTTCTTGAAGATCTGTGGCATTAGTTTCATGTAGTATTCCTAAAGGTTGAGAATGCTCAACATTCAATTCGGTATATTCTATATTGGTTATATTTGTAGTATTTTCCATATTTAATAGACCAGGAAAAGTATAAATATCGTTGTTATTATGTGATATCTCCGTCAGACTTGTATCACAAACATTGGGCATAAGACCTTGGTTCAAATTGAATGTCTTTTGCAAAGGTTGGTCTAAACTTTGTTTGGGACCAATGTTGGCTGTAGCAGTATTGTTTTCATTGTTTTTTATAGTGCTTTTTATAGGTGGAACAAATTTCTTAGGTTTTGAAAGTGATTTTTTATCATCTTTCTTTAAATTCTTCTTTTTTCCAAATGTTGGTATTGTTTTAGTTTGAGACACAGGTTGTATTATATCTTGGTTTGGTTTTGCATCTAAAAATTTTAAGAAATTATTATTTTTCGTACATTATTGGTAATATTTATAATTGTATATATACTCAAAAGTACTGGTAATAAAAAATGAGCATTTCATCAACAAAAATAACTAATTAAAGTATAATAATTATGATACTCAAAGTGCTTTATGAATGTTGATACACTTTTAACTTCAGAATTCATATTGATCACAATTAAAGACATATTTTTGTATATTTTCGTTTGCTCGCTTCGTTTAAATAAGCTAATTATAAACATCCCTTAAAATATTATAATTTTAATAATCAATATCAATAATTCAATGAAAAATGTTACCTTCACACTTTCGAAGATCACACGATCCAATACTATTTTGATAGCTCTTCAAATAATCGTCTGTGACGAAATTATCATCAAACTGACTAAATATGTCATTTTTCAAACTAAATTGACCATTTTCGTGATTCATGTCCTCCATATTTAACGTAATTTTAAATAAAACAAGAGTAAAATGATAAAGAAGCGAAACTTCAATATTTTCGCGGCAAATAAAAATATTTGAAAATGGAACACGTTTACGCGGTGTTTTTTTTTTAGTAAAGATATGATCGCATTCAGCCTTAGTTGGAAAAGAGGTTTTTTATCTTGAGGATTATTGAACTTTTTTTTCTTCTCTTAACATTTATATTGGTCAAGTGGTTACGCACCCGGCTTTTAATCATGGGTTCAGTGCCAGGTTCAAAACCCAGGTCGGTGTAAAAGTATAATTTCTAAATCATGTTTAGTCTTCGAATATGTCTGAATTATAAGTTTGCTAAATCCTTGAGTTTTTAAAGAAAAAATTAAGTTGAATGGTAAATGAAAGATCCTTACCTGACTTAAACGGCTCTTTCAGATCTTCAAGTTCAGACTGCAAAGAAATAAAAATATCAAGTCAATATCCTCGCGTCGCAAAAATACGTTTGTTATAAATAAACATCGGATTACATGCATTTGCATGTTTGCATACGCATAATAATTCGTAATAAGTTTTCCTCTGATTTTTATGGAATAAGTCTGCAAATGAGCTATTTGATGGCAAGAAATCGGCGCCGTCCATGGGCACCTGAAACACCAGAAGTGTTACAAGTGCGTTATCGGCCTTTTGGGGATTAGGAATTGGAGGATTATTAGGGATTCGGGGATTGGGAAGAAGGCTAATTGGGACTCAGGTAACCTCACTTACGAACGTGCAAACCTTGCTAGCCTAACCATATAAAATTTTAAATGTTTTTACTCGTTTTAACATACCTGTGTAACAGCATTGAACTGTTTAATATTTTTATCCGGTACTTTTTCTTTGGGCTCCGACTTTTCCTTCTCCTTGTCGGGTGTTGGGGACGCACCACGCCGTTTCTTTGGTGCCGGTGACGGGAGCGTTGCGTTGTCCTCCGTTTGTTCGTCTATATACCTGAAGAAAGTAATAATAGAATTTTTCAAATGAATTAAAAAAGACTGCCTCATTCATTGGCCGAGTGGTCGCAAGTGCGACTATCGGGTGACAAAGTATTACTGGGTTTTTCTCAGTGGTAGCACGGAGTCTGGAACTGTGCCCGGTATATGGCAATAGGCTCACCCCCTATTACATGGGACTCATAACATAAATAGTGAAAAATGGGTGTTACATTACAGTGGCATTAAGTGCCGTAATGTGCACCTGTGCCTACCCTTTCGGGGATAAAAGGCGTGATGTTATGTTATGTATTAAAAAACATCGTATGGAGACAGCAGTGTATAATAGATTTGTCAGCACCCCTACTCTTCCTGTAGGTACCTATCGTTTGAAAGAGCCCATTAAAAGATGAGATGGTATGTTTAAGGCAAAGTGGAATATTAACTTGATATCGGGGGTTACTCACGTGAAAATACTGAGAAAAGTTCTACTAGTTAGAGCCACAGAGGGGTTCTTCCTCATGAGCAGCGTGCGCGGTCGCGGCGATGTAGCGCAGCCTACTCAACTCGTAGTAATGGCTGCGACGCTGCGAGACATCGCCGCTAGTAGAGCTATTCTCAGTATATTCACGTGAGTTACCCGCGATTTTTAGTTAATTTAGTGTCCGACGATAGTTATTACAAAAACAAAGTGGAATATATTTGTCACTAGCGATATTCTACCCGCGGGGGTCGTAAGAACCGACTGAAGGACTACATATTTGACAGAAAGCAAGCAACACCATACTCTAGAACCTTTTAAACTGCGATTTCCAAAATCCTAAATCTATCTTCCTATAGATCCTGGCTTACAGAACTTGTAGTGGTTTAACGAGGTTGTGGCAGGCTTGTCCCTTAACCCGTCGAGCGTCCGCGTTCCTTATGCATTTCCTTATCCTTATGTATGCAAGAAAATGCATTTATTTAGCCATTGGCACACGAAAACGAGGATCATTACAATAGAAATAAAACAAATACAGTCAAAATAAACACAAAACATTAATAATAGATTTTATAAAAGAGAAAGCCGCATGGAGTATTTTTTCTTATGATCCACCGGGTGCTCACGCTCGAGGGGTTAAAAACCCAACCCAGCATGGAGATTGAAGATTAAGGCAAACCCTCTTATATAGAGGAGACTCATGGTCCAGCTGGGGACTGCCAATGAAGACGAAAAACTTGTATGTCACAATCGCAAACGCAGTTCAGATCTCAGAAACTGCATTTCGGCAAGTGACAATTTATTATATGGATCAGTACAACACAAATTGATGTCTTGACAATATGTGTAGATAAAGCTACAATCCAATTTATACCTATTACATATAGGTGTTAGTTTTTTTTTAAATGCTCTATTCCCCAGAATTGCTGGTACGATTTGAATAATCGTTTTTGTTAACTAAAAAAGTAGGCTCGCGACATAGCCTGCGCACGCTGCTAATGAGGAAGACTCCCTCTGTGGTTTGATACTAGTAGAGCTTTTGTCAGTATATTCACGTAAGTACGATAGTTATCTACTATATAAAAATAAGTCGGGTTTTCTTTCCTGACGCTATTACTCCAGAACGCACGAACCGATTTCCACGGTTTTGCATGCGTTGGAAAGGTCTCGGGCTCCGTGAGGTTTATAGCAAAGATTAGCAAAATTCACTAATCACCAAACGAAATGTTACATAAAACGAAGCCATCTGGTGGCGAAACGAAGTTCGCCGGGTTTGCTAGAGCTTTTGTCAGTATATTCACGTAAGTACGATAGTTATTATGAAAATAATTGTTTTTGTGTTGGATGGTCCATTTATTAAGGCTATTATACTATAAAACACGCTACGATTAGCAGCCAAGCAGTGGGGGAAATGCGCGGGAATCTATATCCTTACTTATATTATAAATCGGAAAATCAGTTACTAGTTTGTTTGTTCCGCTTTCACGCCGTAACTACTAAACCGATTGCTTTGAATTTTTGCAGACGTAAAATTAGAAGTCCGGATTAAATAATAAGGTACTTTTTATCCCGGAAAAATTTGATATTGCCGAGGGAAAACAAAAGAATTGGTATAGATGTCGCTGTGTATATCGTTATATGCCACAGGGGCTACTTTTATTCTTTTGTGACGCGAGCGTAACCGCGGGTAAAAGCTAGTATGTATATAAAACCGTACCTTTTCGGTCGTATTTTCCGTCCACTTCTGCTGACAATCTCCTCCTCTTTCTTCTCCTCATCGTCGTCCTTAGCCGGTTCATCTTTCTTTCCTTTGCCCCGAGGAGTCTTTGGCTCCTTCACGGGTTTCGCCGGAGTCTCCTTAGCTTTGGTCTCCGGTTTCGCCTTTTTAGGCTGTTGTTTTTGCTGTACAAAGGAAAAATATTAGATAGGAAATTATTTATTAGTAGAATAGGGTAAATGCGATTATTTTAATGTCCGTCTGGTAAATCAATTTAAAACTTTAGACATGTAGATAATTTTTCTTTTCTCACAAAATTAAATACTTTCGACGATATATCCAAAGGGGTAGGCAGAGGTGCACATTACGGCACTTAATGCCACTATACAACGTAACGCCCACTTTTCACTATTTACGTTATGAGTCCCATGTAATAGACGTGTGCCTATTGCCATATATCGGGCAAAGTTCCAGACTTCGTGCTACTACTGAATTTTTTTTTAAAAACCCAGTAATACTTTGCCCGACCCGGGAATCGAACTCGGCCAGCGAGGCAGCCTTAGCAGATACTTAAGTACACCTTAAAATTTAGTAGCCTTTTAGTATTCGGGCGTATGAGTCTCATGTTAAGTTAGGCATAATCTCCATTGTTCGCAATTTTAAAGCGTCATCAGAAAACACTGCTCCCCGATTTCCCTTAGTCGGCTCTTAGGATACCATGGAGAATAGAAGGGGTGATTTATTCTGCGTAATTAATGAAGTTAATGAACATACCTTGCCTTCATCGATGACCAGGTTACCTGTGTCATCTGAATCTTCCACTGCGGTGTCATTTTGAGTCGTGTTTAGGGTTGGCTGAAAGAGAAAATACATTTTTAATAACTATCGTGACACATACAAGTGTGGGAGAGCCATGGTTCGGCACCAATAGACCGGCTCGACCGGAGTGATACCACGGCCTCACGGATAACCGACGTGAAGCAACGCTTGCGTTGTGTTTCGTCGTGGGAGTGAGGTTACCGGAGACCCAATTACCCTCCCCTTCCCCAATCTCCCCAATTCCTGAATCCCCAACGATCCTCAAACTCCTAATCCCCAAAAGGCCGGTAACGCACTTGTAACGCCTCTGGTGTTCCAGGTGTCCATGGGCGACGCCGATTGCTTACCATCAGGTGATCCGTCTGCTAGTTTATCGGCTTATGCCATACAAAAAAAAAACACTGTAATTTACTTACTTCATCAGCCATAGTTTCATCAGCGGCAGTGGTGTCCATGCCAGTTTCGTCCAAAGTATCATTTGCAACAGAGTCATTCGCTTCAAGAGTTGAAGATTCAGCTGGTGGTATCTGCAAATCATGGCATAATTTTAATTAATGCTGTTCATTGTAGTGACGGAGGAGGTGAACATCTGCCAAGAATGGAGAGTGTGGTAAATCATCTTATCGCGAGGCTCAAATAGAATGAAACTCATATGTTGAAGCTCATAAATATAATAAAACAACGGAGTTGAGATCCGGAAACAGAACTAAAAACAATATATTCTTTTTTTAATAATCATAGACAATACAGGAATGCACTTATATTCTATTATGACCACAGATATTTAATACAAATGATTATGTTGAGATCCAATTTAACACCCCCACTATCTCAAATAATCACAGAAACACAACAAGTACGATTTTAACAAAACAATCAATTATACACTAACCACACCTAACATTTTCATGAACATATAATGTTTCTTTGAACATAAACTTTTGGTTAGCAAATCAGCAGGCATGTTATCTGTCGGCAAATAATGTAATTTTACAATATTATTTGATACACACTCTCGAGCAAAATGACACTTTACGTCAATATGTTTTGATTGCTTATGTAGCACAGGATTTCTCGACAGTTTTTGTGCACTCTGATTGTCATTATATAAATCCAAAGTGTACATTTTATCTGTTATTTCAAACTGCAATGCTCTTAAATATATGGCTTCTTTACAAGCTTCTGAAATCCCCATATACTCAGCCTCACAACTAGATAGAGCTACTGTTTTTTTGTTTCTTACACTCCCAAGAAATTACACCATTTGATAACAAGAAACAAAATCCAGTGTAAGATCTTCTATCTATAGTATTACTTGCCCAATCAGCATCCACAAAACCTTTTATTACAGAATTACCATTTCTACAATATTTAATGCCATATGATTTAGTTTTTTTTAAATATTTTAATATTCTCTTGGCATAACCCCAATGCTCATCTGTGTGACTATTATTAAACTGACTAAGATAACTGACAGCATAGGTTATGTCTGGTCTAGTTAAAACTGATAAATACATTAGGCTACCTATAAGCTGTCTAAATGGCACTTTATCATTTACATTCTGACCTATGTTTACATTAAGCTTAGTCTCCATTGGAGTATCACAAGTCTTACAATCTATCAAGTTAAATTTATGTAACAAACTATCAATATAATTTTCTTGACTTAAGGTTACAGAACCTTCAGACTTATCAAACTTTATATTCACTCCCAGACATTGTTTCACTTGACCTAGGTCTTTTATTGTAAACTTATTTGACAATGTATTCTTAAGGTCTAAACATTCCTTGTCATCATTACTAAAAATAAAAAAATCATCAACATAAACTGCAACAATAGTTTTATGATTATCAATGTTCCTTGTATAAATACATGGTTCAAGTTTAGATTTCTTGTAACCACTTTCAAGCAAACACCTATCTAATTTCTCATTCCAGGCCCTAGAGGCCTGCTTCAAACCATAAATGGCTTTCTTAAGTTTTAACACTTTATTATTACTACCTGGAATATTATAACAATCTGGTTTATACATATATATGGTTTCCTCTAGGTCACCATTGAGAAAAGCAGTTTTCACATCAAGATGTGTTACATGGAGCCCCAATTGCACTGATAGTGAAAATAATAAACGTAGGGTTGTGTGCCTAACAACAGGAGGTCTACTCCGGTTCTCGAATGCGAAGTTTCGTTTGATTTGCGGCCGCAAACAACGTTTTCGGAACCATAGACAACTTTCGTGAACGAATGAATTCTACAATGAACGAATGAAGTGAAGATAAATAAATAGGTAATAAAAAGGTTTAGATTCGAAATTAAAAATAAAATTTTATTTTAAGTAATTATATAACTAAAATGATAATTCCATAGCTTAGCACACATAATCATCAAGAAAATCATGAATAAGCTTTTAATATTAATGTTTAAGATGGAAAATCTTAAACGGGATAAAAACCTCCTTTTAAAGATTTATTATACGACCAAGTTAAAAAGTTTAAGGATATTGGCTTTGTCATTTATTGACATTTATTTATAAAATAATGACAACCAAATTTATTCGTATTATATTAGTACAGTCAGTTAAAAATTTTAAATGTCTACATGAGAATTTCAAGACAATAAATTATTTCAAGTTATGATGGTTAACAATATATTTTTGAAAGAATTTATCTTATCTATAAATGTTGTTACATTAATAGATGTGAAAGAAAAGCGAAAATATGTACTAGCAATATTTAAGTTTATTTTTCTAGTGGTATTATGAGTTTTAAAATAAAACATTATACATGAAACATTTATGTACAAAACATAAGGTATTCAAATAAGTATTTGATTACCCTAAATGTTACTAACTCTCATAGACATGTAAAATTATATAGGTTCGTGTTTACAAACTATTTGAGCTGACTGTACATTGATTTTATATCCTCATTTAAATGGTTTCTTTGGTGACCTACGTGTTGCCCACACGAAGAAACCGTGATAAAACGAAGACTTGCAATTACTTTCATTGATTTTTTAATAAAATTTAACCCAAACGAAAATCAAACGATAACTATTTTGGTTTCGTCGAAATGACATTAAACGTCCGAAGAATAATCTGTCAAACTCGAATTTTCGTTCGTGCGGATTGTACAACCAGAGTAGGGTTCCGAAAATATCGACGTCAAACAGTACATCTCATACTAATTTCTGGCTTGTTTCATTCCTTTTTCGTTCGTTTATATGTCATTGTGGTAGGTAATCTTTGAAGTTTCGTCCGAAACTTCGTTTTTCGTCGAATCGGAGTAGACCTCCAGGCGAGAAGGTCTCTGTATAATCTATACCTTGTTTTTGAGAAAAGCCTTTAGCTACTAATCTGGCACGAAACCTTACCCTATTTTCGCTATCAAACTTCTTACGCAAAACCCATCTAGACTGAACAATAGTACTATTAACAGGTACCTCAGAAAGTTCCCACGCATTATTGTCTTCAAAGCACTGTAACTCATCTTTCACTGCCTCTAACCACTGTTCTTTCTCAGGTCCATTTAACGCATCTTCCAATGACAGTTCACTATCATCTATTGAACTAGCACTTTCCAAACAAACATTTGAAAAACCATACCTATTTGGTGGCTGCCTGCGCCTACACAAATCCTTTTTAACAACACTCACTTCACTTTCACCACTACTGGAGCAATCATCTTCATCAGGTATGTAAGTTTCATCACCATCATGATAATCTTTACTTTCAGATTCATATGATATGTCCCCCACTGAATCTAGAAATACTTCAGAGCATTCAGCCTTTGGTTCAGTGTTTGAATGTATTTTCTCTTCGATTTGCACTGGACTTTCTGCCTGTCTAGGTTTTTCAATAATGATTACATCACGGCTGGTTGTAACTCCTTTTGTTTCTGGATTGTAAATTCGATAACCTTTTACATCCTCTGGATAACCAACTAGTATTCCTTTTTCAGCCTTCTTGTCCCACTTCAACCTTTTTTCTTTAGGAACATGCATCATCACTATACTTCCAAAAACTCTCAAATGACTTATGTCTGGCTTCTTCTTTGTCCACATCTCATATGGCGTCTTCCCATTTAAAGCTGTTGCTACTGTTCTATTCTGAAGATAAACAGCAGTATGTGCTGCTTCAGCCCAAAAACTTTTATTCAAACCAGCATCAAACAATAGGCATCTTGCCTTTTCCACCACTGTACGATTACTGCGTTCAGCCAAGCCATTTTGTTCTGGGGTGTAAGGATTGCTCTTTTGATGACCAATTCCAGCATTGCTGAGATATTCTTCAAACTTTTTATTACAATATTCCATTCCATTGTCAGTACGCAGCTTCTTAATTTTCTTATTTAGTTGATTCTCAACAGATGCTTTATATTTTTTAAAACAATCAAGGGCTTCACTTTTATTTTTCAGGAAATAGATAGACATCATTCGACTGTAGTCATCTATAAATAAAATGTAATATCTTGAACCACCAATAGAGACATTGCTAAATGGCCCACATATATCGCTGTGAACAACCTGAAGTAAATCATCACTTCTACTGCCATTCTGTGGAAAAGGCAATCGATTCAATTTGCCTTCGCAACACACTATGCACGACGACTTCGAAATATTAGCCTTTCTGTCGAGTGTGAGCCCTTCCACTGCATTGTGCATTTTATTCAAATAGCTACTATTCAGATGACCTAACCGTCGATGCCATATATCACTTGGAATCGCCACTGCAGCTAGGAACCTTTCAGGCATTTTTAATTTGTAGACACCATTTATCAAACAAGCTGTGGCAACTAACTTGTCATCTTGATTGTAAATTTGACAACCATCACTAGTAAAATATACTTTATTGCCTCTTGCTATCAATTGACTGACTGACAATAGATTAGTGGTTAAACTGGGAACACATAAAACTTTTTCAACAACCACATCATATTCACAATCATCTGTAATTGTAGCAATTTGCACATCACCTGAACATTTGACAATCACCTTTTCTTTGTTGGCAACCAGAATCTCTTTAATAGAATGATCAGTCGAGGTGTTCTTCAGCCAATTTTCATTGGCGGTCAAATGAGCACTCGCACCCGAATCGACATACCAGTCATTCTTCGAAAATTCGCCATTCAAAAACACGACGCTAAAAGCAATCGTTTGTTTACGTTCAGGTATTTTACTTTTATTATCAGATGAATCTTTATTAAAATTAGTGCACTGAGTTCGATAATGCCCCGTTTGTTTACACCGGTAGCAGGTTATTTTCCGCCTTGGTTTTGACAGTTGTCTATTATCTGAATCTTTGGTTCCAGTAGCGCCAACCTTACTGTTGCGAAAACTCGCAAACGCTCCGTTATTTCCGCTAACGTCGCCCCTGTCTTCCTCCAAGTCCATTAACTTGGTTTTAATGGCGTCTGCTGTTATCTTCATTCCAGAATGTTCAATGGCCATAATCATTGGCGCGTATTTTTCAGATAGCCCAGCCAAAAGCAACGATCCGACCCACTCATCGTTAATGTTAAAGCCTGTTCCACTTAATTTCTGACTAGTTTCAATCACATGCGTGACATATGAGGTCATGGAAGCAGAATTTTCCAGACGAATCGAGATCAATGTTCGTAACAAGCTGATTCGCCTTGTGAATCCAGAATCATCAAATAATTGCTTGAGTTTGTCCCACAACTCCTTTGTACTTTTCACTTCTTTCATATGTACATACAACGACGAATCTATTGTTAGGATCAATTTTGCCTTGGTTTTCGCGTCAGCTTCGGCTTCTGTTGGTTTAGTTTCTATGATACAATTAGAAGTTCCTTCCAACACCAAAAAATTCTCCGCCGCGAAAGCCCACTCTGCATAATTCTCACGACCTTTTAACTTAGGTACACTAACAACATAGTTCGTACTCATTTTCACCAGCACAGCTTATTCTCAGTCTGCTAAAACTTATACAGCACTAATCGGCAAGTTTTCTGCGAGAATATAACGAATTACTGGGCCCATAACCTATAATAAAACAACGGAGTTGAGATCCGGAAACAGAACTAAAAACAATATATTCTTTTTTAATAATCATAGACAATACAGGAATGCACTTATATTCTATTATGACCACAGATATTTAATACAAATGATTATGTTGAGATCCAATTTAACAATAAAGACGTTGGACTTTCTTGCTCGTTCTTCTCCATTCGAAACTACATTGTGGATTGAGTATTTTCCAGGGTATGAAAATTAAAAATCGAATTAGTCCGTCAGTTAGATAATAAACGAATATTAGACACGTATTTTTTTATTTTCTCGTATCAAGTTGAAATACTTAGATAAAATGGCTCTAAGTTTAGGAGTGGGAGGTCGTTACGTCATAACGTGCTACAAAATGTGACACGCTATGACGTCACACGATATTTCAAATTAATATATCGTCGAAAGTATTTAATTTTGTGAGAAAAGAATAAATACGTGTCTAAAGTTTTAAATTAATGTACCAGACGGACATCATTAGCGAAATCTTCAGTGTCTTGGATCTCGCCACTAAATAAATCGCAAAAATTGACAAAAATCGAAATAAATTGACTGCACGGTTGGGCAACCGGCTGCCGTGCAACGTGTAGCGGATTCGATTCCCACACGGAACAACACTTTGTGAGATCCAAAAATTGTTGTTTCGGGTCTGGGTGTCATTCTATATGTGAACTTGTATGTTTGTAAACGCACCCACGACACAGGAGAAAATCCAAATGAGGGGTAACGTTATTACTAATAACAAAAATATAAATAAGTGAAAATTTATGAGGATTTGAAGATGTATTGTATGTTCTTCTATCATACAGAAACTACTGAATGGATTTTTATAAGAAAAGTGACGGACTTCTTAGAAGATAAAACGATAGTGTAATATGTATTACCTCAGCACCGATCCCAATAACTTGTTCCAACGGTACATTATTAGCGAAATCATGTTCTATCTGTTTCACACCGTCGTTGAAGTCCCTTCGTTTCACAGTTTTAGTCAAAAACTTGTCTTTGTTCTCCGCATAGTCAAATATCATGTTCGGGGAGAGATTTGCACTGGAAACAAGAAAAAATAATCATTAATTATATTAAAATTAAATGAATATGAAATTGTTATATGATTTTTTTTTATGAAAAATAATTTGTTTTTTATGAGATAAGCCGGTAAACAAAAAGACGGACACATGGAACACCAAAGGCGTTATAATTGCGTTACCGGCCTTTTGGGGATTGGGAATTTGAGGATTGTTGGCAATTCAGGGATTGCCAACAATCCTCAAATTCCGTTAAATTAGTGTTCCCAATTTTGATAGATTCACCGCAATCCATCCACAGCCCAGCCTTTTCTCCCATCATCTACAATAGTTCTACACTATCCAGGACTTTCGTTGGGTACATTTCCATAGTGCATACAGGGATAGTCGCCGGTTTGTGTCCCATCGACATATACTAATGGATTGTGGCACTCCGAAAGAAAGAAAGGTTTCGGAGAGAAGTTTCGGTCTATCTTTATCTCTCTCAAAATAGTACCGTAGTTAAGACGTTATGAGCGAGAAAGAGATAGCGCTAGACCGAAAGCACAGGCCATCTCTCTCACTCTTTTCAAACTAAAAAATTACGGCAGATTATACGTGTACGGCATGTCCATTAGTATGTCGATGGTGTGTCCATTACATTTAGATTAAAGTTGTCTAAAGGGCCACTGCACAGTTGACTTCGGCCCCTCGTACGCCTCCCAAACGTGGTCCCGTAACTGGTAAAGACACACATAAATTACTGCAAATTCAATTTGTTATCAGAAGCTTTAAAAATACTTACGTTTCTCCCGTTCCATAGAAATATACTAAATATTTCTTTCCATTCGGCTTGTGCACCTGAAACAAAATTAAATGAAATTTAAAAGAAAGAAAAATGAAACAATTTATTTACACCATAACAAAAAACACGCAAATACATACATAACTACACGCCTGTCTCCCATGGGGTAGGCAGAGACTATGGAACGCCAATTACTACGATTCCTACATACACTTTCGCTTCGTCAACAGTCATCAATCTTTTCATGCATGCTCGTTGGTTAAGGGTACTTTTAATTTGGCCCTTCTTTAATATATCGCCAATCTGGTCAGTACAAGACGGTCTAGGGCGCCCTTTACAGACGGCTCCATTCATATCCACTCTGTATACTTCTTTCGTTACTCTACTTTCATCCATCCATAAAAAGGATTTTGTACATGTCCAAATACATAGTAAAAATATTCTGGCCAGACTTCTAAATTAGGAAAATAATTGTTCCTAAAGATTTAATTATCGTGCAGCTATTAGGTATTTGGTTAAGCTGCAGTCAAGTCTAATAAAATCAGATAAAAATTAAATTTTCACAACACAAAGTCAACAAGACGAATTTTTTATCTATAATCAGGAACTAATAGTGTGGTACAAGTGTACTCTGTTCATTTTTGTGAAGACATCTTTATACTATTGTCTTTTCTTATACTATTATATAAAGCGGAAGAGTTTGTTTTTTTTTGTTTGTTTGTTTGAAAGCGCTAATCTCCGTAACTACAAGTCTGAATTTGAATAATAATTTTTTTGTTGGATAGCACATTTATCGAGGATGGCTATAGCCTATAAAACATGACGCTACGACCAGTATGAGCTGAGCAGAGCGTGTGAAACCGCGCGAAAGTAGCTAGTCTTTAACACATTGATATATCATACTGAAAATTTTTTCATATAAAAGTAGAACATGGAAAATAGGGTCTATAATGGAGTTGGGTTAGTGGAGAGCGGTCACTGGTGCCCACTTGGAGATTGCGCAGTTAATAGCCCCACGTTATCATTGCTTCTAGTGTTGTAGATGTGTTTACAAACATAATTCCACATACATATCACACGCAGACTCAGAAAATACAATTTTTGGAAATGTATGAAATAGACATTTGCATGAAATGTCTATTTCATACATTTAACAAAAATTTATCATTATATTGCAAATACAATGCAACAACTACAAAAACTTTAACTCAGTTCCTGAAAACAATATACAAGTTTACATAAAAACTTAATTTACATTATTTCCGAATATATTATCAAACAATATGGAAGCATAGTAATTTCTTTTTCCTCATGTTTATAAATAGATGTAGTTTTCACAATTATATTTAACCTCTCTGTCTGCCTTAAAGAATGGGGAAAAATCATCCAAATCCTCCTCCATCCAAATCATCCATCCTCCCAACTTGGGTGAGGCGAGAGGGAGTGTCAAATGCTTAATGACTAAAAACTAGCCCATCCCTAATCATGCTCATCCAGCCAGATGCCCGGTAACGTGTTAAGTCTTTCAAAGAAGCAATTGATGCAGTGACTAGTGAAGCAACTGCCGACCAACATGTAGTGAGTTGAAATTTCGTAGCAACAAATATTAGTGATTTACAATTATTGGGTTTATGTATATTTCGTTGATATTATGTAAGTAAAACTCATATTTATATTATAAACACTCCTGAAACATGATAATGAGTACTTTCCTAACTGTCATATTAGGATTAATTCCTTCGTAATAAATAAAATTATTATTAATGTATCTATTATTTATTTTTTTAAATTTTATGCATGCATGCGCATTAAGCAGATATGATGTTTGTGTTAACTTGGACTATATGTCTACAAGTCTACCTTAAAGAGGAGTAGACAGAACTATCAGTAGATGACGAACAAGTAAGAAAATGTTTAAGACTATTTATTTACATGAATAATACATTATTTAAAGTTCTTTAGTCAATTTGTCTGTTAAGATAGAGAAGTTATTAATTATATAAGTCAATAAAACATAAAAAAATGTAAGAGAAATGTTACCAAACAGAGTATACATAATAAACTGACAGATAAGACTTATCAGATCAATATATTGTACTTTTCAATGTTTATAGTAATTATTTATGTAAACTAGTACGAAATAATGCTGTTACCAAGTTATATAACACTCAATTATAGTTATCAGACGCATTATTATGTTTAAAAAACAGCAAAAAAATGATCTGATTAAAAAGCAGAAATGTCATTCACCCCTTTGAATTTATGACAAAGTATTGTTTTATCCATTGTTATTTGAGTGTAAAATTCGTTAATAAGCACAGGAAATACGATTAAAGCGCGAAAATAATCCTTTAATTATCAAAAACAGTTTAAAATATATGAAGCTTGGGTTTAGTAAAACAATGTTATCAGATTTCATGAACAGTAGCTATGTCAACATGAAAAATGTTAATTATGTGGATAATAACGACATTATTTGCTTTCTGAGACCTTGGGGCACTACGAAGGCGTCGGGACCGCGATACAACATGTCTTCCCGCGCTTACATCCAATCAGAGCACAAAGGGGACAGATTTTTCATTTTAACATACACTGACAATAAAATCACTTGTCTATCACACTTACCCTGGCCGGCCATGCTGGGTAGCCTTTTACTTTAGCGAAGATAAAGTCCCCAGCTTGGTATTCTCTTACTTTTTTGCCCATTTTCTATGAACGCCGCTGCAATACCTAATGTATTCCGATAATTCCGACTGCTCACAGCCTTTTCACAGAAACTGGAAACGAAACGTTATTGCACTGATGAATTTTACTTAATTAACAGCGTAATTGTTATGATTTATATGTTATTAATGACATTATTCATATAGACGCCAAGATAAGTAATAACCTATAAGAAATCTTACCGCGGCAACGAATTGACGGCAAAGAAATAAACATGGCGTTTGTTCATAATGGTGTTCCCATATTAAAATATTCAAAATCTACGATAGGTTTTAAATTCCTATGTCTCCCATACACCGAGAGAGTTGGAAATCGATTTTATGTGGAACAAAATAAATTACAAATATCATTTTTGTAAGAAGATAGTGCAGTATAGTTGATAAATGAATTTTAATGAATTACGAATGAGAAACATACTAATTTAAAAGGTATTAATAAACTTTCATTCCTACCTTTAGGTATACTAGCTGTTGCTAAATTTGCCATTGAAAATGTTTATAATTAGCAATTCTAAATTCCTTAGATAGTTAATACTATAGTAATTTTTATTTTCATCTCATATTCGGTTAATATTTGTAAATAGTAAACTCTTTTGCTTCTTCATAGTAAAAACACACACATCCAAATACAGTCCCAATTTTTTGATTTTCTATAAATGTAATACTAGCAAAGTTTTATAGTATTTCATTATTATAACTTATACGGTTACTTAGCGTATACTTTTCTATTTACTTATCGTTCGTTCTGGTTTCATTCATAAAATACATAAACGCCGCCTGTGCCGCTAACAACCCCATCCACCCACTCGAGTCTATTGTCTATACGCAAAAATATTAATATTTTAATTTGCAACCCAGTTACTATGAGTGGTCGTGTCAGACGGATGCTTCGGGCGAGCATTTTCGCGTAAACTAATTGATTTCTTCTAATTAAATTATAGTGAATCATTGTGTAAGCAATGCAAGTGTGATGTGAGCCATGCGAATTAATATTGTGCAAATATACAGCGGAAAGACTCCAAAATAGGGGATGTAACAGGAAAATAAAAATGGCTTCAGGAGATACTGATCATATAGAAGTGATGGACTCTTCGGCTACTAAAAAGTCTGATAACGCAACTGGACCTTCGGGCGCGGAAGAAGATGGTAGTACATTGTTAAATCCAATAATACAAGAACGCATTCCATTGTTGTAATCCCTTTGTAACAAGATAATAACGTTGACAACGAGGACAATTTTTACAAAGCTCATCGGCCCCTTTTCTTCTTTACAGATCGAGACAAGAGCTCAATCGCTGAGAAAAATGCACCGTACGATGTAAGTGGTAGATAAATTTGTTGTTACAGTGACTATTTCATTCATAACTGCGTGGAAACATGAAATAATGTGGAGAAAGTTAGTGTAGAGATTGGCCAAATGAATTAAAATAATTAGCATGCAAGATTCATTAAAAATTACGCGATGAGAACTTGCATAGTAACACCATTGTGTGTATAATATACTCTTTGTTCAATTAACATTTACAGCATATTAAATTTTGTTAAATATCATAGCTATATTCTCTACTTAGTTATGTTGAAATCATCAAAATATGTCAAGCACTTTCTGGTTTATGTCAGAGCAAATTTGTTTTTAATGGTATCTATTCTATAGATAAAAGTGTTACATCACTGCCAGATTTGTTTTTTTAATCTAAAACCATAAACAATCACATGCCTGTTCATTGATATGGTGTGGCTGATAAGTAATGAAATTGTTTATAGAGGCCCTTTCCTTTTTTTTTGACAATCATTGTTGATTGTCTTTTTGGAAACATCCAAATAATTTTTTTTTGATAATTCCTAGTATGATGATAATTGTGTCTGATATATTATGGCCCTAGGCTCACCCCCTAATACATGGAACTAATAATATAAATGAAGAAAAAATTATGTTTAAATTGATCTTCGGAGACTAATAAAAAGTAACTTATGTTTTGTTAAGTCAAATATACTGCTCATTATTTCACTTTGAACTCACTTAACAAAAATGTAATTGTTGGTCTGTAAAAAAATCAATAAGATTCTGATTACATTAAAGTTCTTAAGAACTTGGAATGATTATATGATGATGATGATGATGATCATGAGGAATGGTTCATCATCCTATCAGCCATAGACGTCAACTACTGAAAATAGGCCTTTCTCAATGACCCTTAATTTTACCTATCTCATCAACAATGGATATATTTTCTTAAACACGACAAAAAGTAATTTTTTCTATTATAGTTCACACAATATTGTGTTGTTTTCCCAAACATTTATTTAAGGTAACATTGATTAAAGGTCCTTGACTGCCGACAGAAAACTGCTGAAGGCAAATTCTCCACTAACATAGGTCACCGGTGACCTACGCGGCAGTTAACGTGTTAAACCTTTTAGGGCCGTTTCACAAGGACAAATCCTTTTTTCTTTAAAAATAAAAGGTAAGCTTGCCCCACGCTATGTTTTTTTCTGTTTTGGTTGCGTTGACAAACATACCAATTTACCAAAACACTAAACAGTAGTTAAGTTACTGTAAGAGAAAGTGATGGATAATTCAACTTATTATCCTTATAACACATGACGGCACAGTTGGTGCGGTGGCTGGGCAACTGGCTGCCGCGCAACGTGTCGCGGGTCGGATTCCCGCACGGAGCAACTCTTTGTGTGATCCACAAATTGTTTTTCAGGGTCTGCATGTCATGTGTATGTGAACTTGTATGTTTGTAAACGCACCCACAACACAGAAGAAACCCTAGAGTGGGGAATGTTTGTTAAAAAAGTATAATGTGTTAACTACTTCAATTACAAAATTTTTAATTAATTAGACATTGTGAAACATACCTTAATCATTTTGTTTTTCAAAATGTAGACCTTACAACACCATAGCATTTTTTTACATTTGAACTTGTTTTAAAAATATGTTGCTCGACTCAGAATCATAAATATAAACACAATAATAATTCTTATCCTCCCATTGTATTAGAATTTAAAATTCTATTAGCATTTTCAATTCTACATGTGGTATGTCTGTGACTCACAATCTCCTAAACAGCTGTTTAGATTTGGATGAAACTTTGCATACGAATAGACCATGACCTAATTCAACAATATTTAAAAGATGCGATTTTTAACCGACTTCAAAAGAATTTTTGATAAGTAATTTGTGTTACTTTGTTTGTTTTTATTTTAAGTTGATAATGGAATAATATTGTAGTATTGATAATGTTGTCTTTATCATGCATCATGTAGTTATGAGCTAATCTATATTGAAGTAATAATAAAGCAATGTTTTGTAACTATTTAACATTATTACCTACTTATAGAAAAATGGGTAATCAGATTTATATACATACATGTTCTAAATACCAAAGTTTGTGTTGGTTGGGATAGGGAGACCCCTGGGGATAATGGCTGAAAATAAATAATAAATTAAGTCTGAGAATGTATGTCTGTTGTTTTGTTACTCTTTTATGGTAAAACTACTGGACGGATTCGAATGAAACTCGGTACAGAAATAGATTAGCATATTGGATGCCGTGTCGGATAATGATGACTGACGCTAGCGGAGGATTAGCCTTTAAAAGTTTTATCGGCAGTTAAAGGCTTAACTATAGTCTGGTATTCTAGACTATAGTTAGTCTAAGGGGGGATAATCATCGAATGAGTGCTCCCGCCTGGGTGAGGGGGGGGGGGGGGGGGGAGAGTATCAGACTCTTACTGACTAAAAACCACCCCGTTCCTACTCCTGCACTCCGTTAGGTTCTCCGCGACTCCGTATCGGCATCAGCCCTATTGGGCCCCATGGCATAATGTACACCTCTGCCTACCCTTTCGAGGATAAAAATGTTATGCTAGGTCATTGAACTCATTAACAATTATGTCACAACAAAGTGCCTATTTGTTTCATTTTATGTTTGGTTGTAAACAGTAAATTATATAATACATAGGTAGGTTAAACCTAGGAATGTACTACTTAGCTACTATAAACTTAAACGCACATAACCACTTCGTTTGTCCTGTTTCAAGTGTGACTGCAGAGTACCTATTCTCAGGTTCGATCTCGGCGAACGTAATGATGTGTATCTTTTCCTTCTGGGAAATTGCAGGCGTGTCAGACTTATTAAGCTTTGTCCCAATGCCATGAATAAAAAAATGTCTGTCAATTTTTTCCCGCCAAACAATCGTCGTTAATCAGTTTTCGTCCTTAGCCCTTTAATTTCAAAGTTCAATATTACCTAACAACTGTATACCATAGACAAACGTACCTATTGTTCGAGATAGGCGAAGGCATTCTAACAAACAGCCTAAGGAATCAGTATACAACCTTTACAGAGGAAAAGAAAAACAATGTTGGCTGTTGGCCAATGGCGTTAAAAAGATAAAGACCCGTACATATTACTGCGGTGTAGTTAATGCGTCTTGTCTATATGTTTACTTGTCTAGCCAGACGTTATATTACTTACACTCGCTTCTGCCAGCGGCATCGCCCGCGTTCCCGTGGGATAATAAGTAGCCTATGTGTTCTTGCAGACCATAATCTACCCTTGTTCCAAATTTCATCTGATCCCTTAAGCCGTTTTGATGTAAAGAAGTAACAAACAAACAAACGAACCTTCGTATTTTAATTAGTAAAATGTATTGGGATTGCCATGCTTCGGCACGAATGGGCCGGCTCGACCGGAGTGATACCACGGTCGAGCAGAAAACTGACGTGAAACAACCACAGCGGTGTGTGCAGCTGTGTGAATTAGGTTATTTGGAGGCCCAATCATCTCCCTCTATAGTCTATAGCAAAAGTCCGATAACGCACTTGTCCTCTGGTCTTTCTGATGACAGTAATCACTTACCAGGTGGTGCGTCTGTCCATTTTCCCCCTTTTTTTTTGGCTATAAGGCGAAATATCCTGCACGCGCTTTAAAAAGCCACAGACCACCGATGGGGACGGGTACGGCCAATTCTCAACCGGAATTGCGGACGACCGTAAAGGTTACCGGGGCTCCGGCTCGAAGTAGGATTAGGAGGTGGGTGGTTTAGTCCGTAAGAGTCTGACATTCCCTCTCGCCTCACCCAGGGTTGTAGTAAAAGTATACTTAACAATTGATTAGTAAAAGTTTAAAACGTAGACAAAAAACCACAATGCAAGGATTTTCAATCGTGTGTAATGATTGTCCTTGATTTTATGTGGGAATTTGCAGGTGTCTCGCTATTGTCTTTTATTTATAGTCGTGTGATTGTATTTACTTTAATGTAATAGGCGTGATATTGCTTTTTTTTTTCTGTCCCATTCTGGGGTATGGGTAGAAGCGCATAAGAGTAAAAAAACATTTTTGCCCACACGTAAACCGACTCCGTAATTAATAGTTTAAAAGGATAAAAAGCAGCCTATGTTCTTTTGAAAGTCAGCTTTCCAATGATGAAAGATTTTTTTCAAATCAATTTATTAGTTTCAAAGCCTATTTTATGCAAACAATCAAATCATTGCTCTTTATATGAATACTAGCTACTTCCTCGCGGTTTCACACGCTCTACTCAGCTCCTATTGGTCGTAGTGTGATGTTTTGTAGCCTATAGCCATCTTCGATAAATGCGCTATCCAACACAAAAAGAATTATTCAAATCAGACTTGTAGTTACGGAGATTAGCGCGTTCAAACAAACAAACAAAAAAACAAACTCTTCCGCTTTATATAATAGTATAAGATAATAGTATAAGATGTGTTATCGCATCCCGAAAAACAGCCAGGGCTAGACATATAACCCATTTATTAGCCAAAAACGTAGACAACTATATCATACGTAACATAATATACTACATAGTCATGTCAGCAAAATTATTATGTACATAGGCTTTAGTGAAACTATCAGCTTTTAGCTTAAATGAAGAAGTTTGTATGTAAACTAAACTGAACCCTTTTAGGGTGTAAGTACTACCTAAGTACTGATAAATGGCTCTATACATGAAACCATCTATGTACATTTTCTTTAATCCTTACTATAATATTATCAATCTGAAAGTGAGTTTGTTTGTTTGTTCCACCTTCACGCCGTAACTACTCAACCGATTGCTTTGAATTTTTGCAGACGAAAAGTTAGAAGTCCGGATTAAATAATAGGGTACTTTTTAACCCGGAAAAATTGATATTCCCGAGGAAAAACAAAAGTATTGGTATAGATGGCGCTGTGTGTATTGCTATATGTCACATAGGTTACTTTTTATTCTTTTGTGACGCGAGCGAAGCCGCGGGTAAAAGCTAGTATTGTAATAAGTAGTGTCTCGTGCAGGCTTTGTTGGTCG